TACTGTATAATGCTTTTCTAGTGTCTATGTAAGTACCAAATTAACAGTTTTACCTAACTAGCGATAATGAGGGCTAAATCAAAGTTGTTAATTAGCTTGATTGATGAGTATTATCCACATTAGCACTTGGTGATTAAATGCTTCATTTGATTAATTTATGACATTTGGATGTTTTTTTTTAAATAGAGCAATTGAGCTTACAAATAATTGTAGAAATCATATGTAGATACTATTTTATTTTCATTAATAAAATTAAAATCAGTACTTATGCATTTATTTAGGTGAACTACATGTTTAAGTTTCTAACTTACAAAATAATCATCAAACACTTACTGACAACAACGGGGTTCTGAAAAAAATCACCGCGGAAATCTCAGTCACCTCTGTCTGTCGGTTTAAAATCATTTACACTTATCTATCGAAATTAATATTAATTGACTAATTTTAGTATTGCAATAACTAACAATGGTGGATGTAGGCCGCTATCAGCCAGTCCATATGGAAATCATTGGAGAAGGCATATGTTCAACAGTGGACGTCCTGTGGCTGATATGATAATGATGATGATGAATTACAATTCTAAAATCATTAACACTAGAAAGGCCGCCGTCCCATTTTTGTCCCACTCGCGAGTTTGATCAGCTCTAACTTTTTTATTTTTCAACGAAAGTCCATGAAACTTTTTGACTTTTTCTGATTTATTGAATTTTATCATTTTTTAATGTTTTTGATAATATAACATTAATAGAAAAAAATTTAAAATCGGTTTTACCTAGAAGCGCCACTGGGTCAATTTTGTCCCACTCTGGTATTTGCCACAATAATTCGATGAAGAGTCCTTTTTTCGAGGAGATACGAAAGTGGAGAAGTGAGGAGAGTTTAGGTGACTCGTGACAATGCAGAAATGTAAATAAATTGTACTAGTTTTTGCCTGTGACTTCACTCGTGAGAAATTAAGTTTATCATNAAAATCTATAATAAATCTGTAGAGAGGTCAATTCTGTACATGAAATATATTTTCAAAATAACTATCAGGGGGTGATTAGTGATCGATACTGATGCCAAAAATGCAATCAGTAAAATTTTTGTCTGTCTATCTGTCTGTCTGTCTGTATGTTCCTTATAGAAACAAAAACTACTCGACGGATTTTAACGAAACTTGGTACAATTATTCTTCATACTCCTGGGCAGGTTATAGTATACTTAAGAATTCCCACGGGAACGGGAATTAGCGGGAAAATCCTTCTGTATGAAAAATCTAAACCGCTTAAGTTAGACGCTTGAAATTTGTAGGTATTTAAAATTACAAAATAAAACTGCGCGCGCGTTGTCTCCCCACCGCCCCTTCAAGCCCTCCGTCGGCCTGGCGCGCCCATCGAATACATTTTTAGCCGTTTCGTTTTGGCTAATGTGCACATTAGCCGGCTAAAGATGGAATATCACGACGCAAACTAACATGTTATCGAACTTTATCTGCTTCTCGAAGATAAACTTAAGTTTAGCCGGCTAATCTTAAGTTTATGTTCACAACTATCTTTAGCCGTAACATATATATAGATTCATCATTATTTTGAAAAAAATATTCATCATTATTTTTAAAAAATATTCATCATTAGGTCAAATTCAAATTCATTAGGTCATTTCTTTACTACAAAAAAAAAAAATGCAATATCAAAGAGCATTTAAAATTTAATTTTTTCCAAACTGCACGATGCCGCGATGCTTATGATGGTCAAATTTTGAAAATATTTGAAAGTTTATTTGTATAAAGTCAAAATAATGTTAATTTATATGCAAGTCCTAAATTCTATTGTCATGTTCACAGTGTTTGTTATGTTAAAGTTAACTAAATTGGTTGCTGCAAATGACCTATACTATGATACCATAATAAGGGTGTTCACTCGTTAAAAGTCGCCCTGTCCGTACACCCTGCTTTTATAAAAATATGCAAACGTAAAATCATCCACTTACCAATATCTGAATATCCAAAATCAATCAAACCCACTAAAACTAAAACACTAATAACAATATTCTTCATTTTGACGAACACACGTCCGGATTAGTCTAAAATCTTTAAGGCGATTATAGAGTTTCTCCGATTACTCATATTTATAAGGTCGATAGCTTTGCTTGTTTGTATTTTGAATGTTATAATATAATAATTATCAAGCCGAATATTTTTTAGTTGGTTGCTCAAAGGACATGGAACCAGTTACATCATGCATACTTCGCATGGTCATATTTTATCTGGGAGAGAGAATAATCTACATATTTTAAAAATTACTTCAGTCAGAATTACTACTTAGGTGTCTAACGCTCGTATTCACAAACGATGCTTGCTTAAGTGAAGTAGCAAATCGAACGCACAGCGTTGAATAGAGCTCTGTGATTGGTTCGTGTGTGTCCCTACCCTGTGCGTGCACGACCACTGTGAGACCTCATAGTAATGTTTGTGAATACGGGCGTATAGATATTAGCATTATCATTAGATTATAATTGCAGTGTTGGCACAAAATAATTATACTTTTCACTGATGCAAGGGCATATTCTGCCTACATGTAGGTAGGTACATACTTTTTTCTTGCGAATTCAGTGATTCATATTTTCATTTTAAATCTACCTTGGCACCTGAAGACTATGAGTTACTATGGGCACCTGTGTCCAAAATTACATAGTCATTAAGACAAATAAGTTTTTCCTATAAATCTTTCAATAGTGTGCATAATGATACTCTTTCGTGTGTAGCCCTAGGTTTCACGCTTCAAGCTTAAACGCTACTTAAACAAAAATGCCACCATGTGGATCTTTTAGTATGTGGTCTACGCCTTAGTTCACATAGAGCCTTTTCAACGACCGTGATACGACAAGAAACCCTTATGTATTTTGTGTATGGCCTAAGCTAGAGTTTCAAAATAATAATGAATCTGAATTTGGATTACTGATTAATGTTATTTAACGCTTCGAAGTGGTCAACAAAAATGGCATCATATTGGAAGCTTTTAGTATGAGGCTTACGCCTTAGTTCACATAAAGCTTTTTTGGACCTGTTAACGCTAGTACTTAGTTGCGTTTTAGACAAAATGATGATAACCCCGCTTCTTCACCAAGCGTGGCGCTAACCGAAGCTCTTATTTCTGTGAACTAGGCCTTAGGGTGCGTAGTGGGTACGTAATCTGCACGCAACAGGCAAGATTATTTCCTGCGAAACTAGTTTATTTTGCCGTAGGACACCCGAAGCGAGTTTGTCGAGTTTATGCATAGTTATTTTATAGTAAATAAAAAACGCAGACGTGCATCGTGATACCTATAAAATAGGTATAAATTATGTTTGGTATTGATATAAGGACATTATCAAAGTTTTTGCGTGTATTCGATTATAATAGTTTTAATGTCATTAAGGGCTGATTTTTCAATCGTCAGATATCTTTTAACGTTTTAACTGAAGAATAAACTTGTCATTTTGACATATTTCCTATACTGAAACTGTCAATGTGCCAAACTTATTCTTCAGTTAAAAGTTATTCGACGGTTGAAAAATCAGCCCTAAGAAAACAAGCAAAAGGCGTGTTTTACTGAACTAGTGTGCCAATTGATTTTTTTAAATTTTATTGATATGATAGTCGAGATCGATGACTGTCAGAGTTTATGAGACATATTTTTAAAATAATATTCAATTGGTTCTTTGTTATATTCCGACTAATTGCTTGAATATATTCCTGAATGTAAATTACATAAGAGTGTCTTTTTACTTCATTAGCTCATCCTCATTGGCTCCGGCGGGATTCGAACCAACAACCGCAGTCAATGCACTAATTTAGATGACCAATTGCCTTCTTAACTTAGTTTCATACATGCCATTGGTCCTGGACGATTCTTTTAGGGTTCCGTACGCAAAGGGCACCCTATTATATTATCGCATAGTGGATCTGGACGGTTCCTTAATCGGAGGTCGCCAAGACGTGATCATGACTAAAGATTTCTTCGACTTTGTCAGTAAAAGCTATTGGTGTCTCTACATTACAAATGTAGCCAGTTTACTGCCATTTTAGTATGGTTATCCTTGAAATTCTGTACACGCGTAAAAACGAGATCACAACAAAGTGGAGATGAGATTCCTTATGACACCGTATTAATTTTAATGAGTAAATTAGTTAAAATCTAAATCGGCCTCTCATGAAGTATTTGGTGGAAAGGTTTTCTTGCCATGCCTTTTCTAGCTAAAGTCATCCCATGACAAAGGTATCTTGATATTTTAGGACTGTGAATTGGCGTATTAAAAACATTAATCAAATTAATTCGCTACTTTATTATGGAGCGGCTCTCAGGACAACAAAAAGTTCACGGTCAATTTTAAAATTAGTCAAAACGACATTATTTTGAGCAAGTACGCAAGTAAGTTGTGTGGTACTGTGTCATCTAAATTGTCAATATTATCCATTGCCACAATTAATTTATTCATTGCAAATGAATTTATCAAAAATGAATCATTTGATTAAATAACGAGTTTATAAGTATTCAATAATCAATACCTAAAGTCTTTGAGCATTGGTGATTTCAAGGTCTAAATCACGGAAATTTTATCAAAATCTCTTAACCCATAGTGATTGTTTTTTTCCAGACGTGTAGAGGTTAAAACTATTGTTATTTTTTTTATTCAGTGTATTAGTAATTTGTTAATATAAATTCCTGTTAAACACTCGTGGTAACTTAAATATTTATTTATTTATTTAAAAATCTTTAATGTACAAAAGACGAACTTAATGCACAGTGTGCACATGGCATTATCTACCAGTTAACCTTAAGGCTAAAAAGAGAATGAATAACTATGCTTATTTACGAGTGGATTCTCCACAATAGTCCGACTGTGTCGGGGTTCAAACTCAGGTTCCTCAGATCTTTGATTTGGCTAGTCTGCCCCGACACCATAGACTCTGAGAGGCAAACAGTCAGAAGTAGTCAAAATTGTATGGTCAATTTTATTAAGATTTAAAAATCCAATCCAGATTTCAATAACTTTATTGTAAATATATATCTTTAGAAATAGTTTTTAAATACTTGTTAATGCCTTTCACGAATTGCTTGAAGTTTTCGTCGAAGATGGGTTGTTGGAATTCTTTTGCTATAACTGCCCAGTTCTCATTAGCAAAATTGTGGACTGCATCAGCTGTAACAAAGTGGTTTATGTAATATCGCAGTTATTGCAACTACCCACATAATATTGCCCTTCAAGCCCCGCACATCGAGACACAATTAGGTAGATATCAATTGTTAGAAAGAAAGAAAATAATTCTATTTGGCAACAAAAGACATACACATAATTAATTTAAAACAATGAAATGATATAACTAGTTGCCGAAAAGGTCACCCACTCAGTACCATAGATAATGACAGTGTGTGTTACGCGATTATTTGCGATCTCTAGGGGATTGATGGGTTAAAGAAAGAATACATAATGTGTAAGTTTAGTGCTGGGTTGTACCTTCATACTTTAACTTTAACAAAATGTCGAAAGTGTGTCAAACTCCATACAAAAACACCGGTTATGGTTAACATAAGGTGGCGCTACTCAGCCCCTTATTAGAAGTATAGAAATACTTACATAAATCTTTGTCTCCGTTAAATAGATTCTTGAAGTCAAATACTACTCCCCCTGCATCAGGATTCAGCTTAAAGTTCTTGATGTGCAAATGAGAGTTTCCATCAGGACTCGTAACCGCGTTTAAAGTTCCATCAAATGCAACTTTAGTATTTTCTGTAAAAAACAAGAATGTTTTATTCGAGTATAGTATACTTTTATCAATATTACAGACTTACATATTATACTACTGTGAAATAGTGTATGTTTTATGTTCATCAGAAACTAGCTGTGCCCGCGACTTCACACGCGTGAGAATAATTTGATTTTTTTTTCCCGTTTTCGCAACATTAGTGGCAGCAAGGTTCTGGAGTGGAGGAGGCCTCGTACCGCAAAATGCAGCGTGGGACGTCCACCCACAAGGTGGACCGATGACATCATAAAGGTAGCAGGAAGGCGCCGGATGCAGCCCGCTACCAACCGGGCAACATGGAAAGCATTGGGGGAGGCCTATGTTCAGCAGTAGACGTCCTATGGCTAAGATGATGATGATGATGATTTCGCAACATTTTTCATTGATGCTTCTATTGGTCCTCAATAAATAGGCTATCTGACACAAAAAGTTTCTGCGACTAACACCGTTCAATGAAACGTAAGTTTACAGCTTTATAATATTAGTAAAGTAATAATACTTACTATATTTCATATTGTATGTCCCTGTGCCCTCAACCGGCAGAGTGATCAATACACCATGTATATTGTAGTCTCCTTTCATATCCAAGTGAGGGCATAAGAGATCCACATGCAATTTAGTTTTTTCTAAGTCTATTCTGAAAGGAAATCGATTTATTAAGGTGGATATAAACTAGAGCATTTGCTGGAGCTTTAATTCTTTCTATTTTGCTTACACTCTATTGAAATGTTTTACCAAAACGCTCATTTGTTTTTTAAAATTAGGTTACAACAATACGTCGTTCGAAGTGTGGTTCGTGCAATGTTTTGTTACAAGTTAATGCGCCATGTATTCTAAAAGTAAATAGCCATCTAATATTCATCTTTAGAGACAATAAAGACTTAAAATTAATTAATTATTAAATTATGCAGTTGAAGACTAGTCGCGACGTGAATAAGGAAGGAAAATAAAGTCTTTATGCATTTTAACTGCCTTTAAGCTATCGTAATTATGTTAATGTTTATCCTCATAAACCTTCGTCAAGATAATAAAATCATAACATCAACATTTAATAATAAAACCAACAAAACTAACAGATTTTAGAAAACTACACAGTTAAAAGGACCCTTACGTAGAAATTATATCACGTAATATATTAATTAAATATATTTAACTAAAACAAGAACGTAATGCAAAAAACACGAAGGTATTGGTACAGTAAATGTTTACAGGATGTTCCAAAATTAGCACGTCACTCTTACACCGATAGCAGATGGGTCTAAGACGCTTCATTTTTTAAACANCTTTGTGCAAAATGTGCACTATTATTTTTAAGATATTTATTTTTTATTTAAAAATAATAATGACTAGTTAAAGCAGTAATTTCATGATTTTAATACAGTATACCACCACGTAATATATGACTGTTTTTAAATGAAACCAAAAATATCTAAATTTTAATAATTCCAAATTAAAATTGAATACATTTATATTTTTAAAGAAATAAGTACATATTGTTTTAACCACATAGATAAACCTTTTTTTAAGGATACTACAAATAGTTTTAACCATAATATTCATGCCTGAAACTTAAAAAATGTTACAAAATACATGCCGGGACAAAATTGACCCAGCGGCGCTTTTAGGGGGGTCGTAATCTTCGGCACTTCTAGTGTTAAAAGCTAGCAAAACCCACATTTACCAGAGACTAGCCAATTTGCCCACTTCGGAAACACAGTTTGTAAGAATAATAACGAAAATCGATCCCGGACAAGAAATCCTGCCGAATATTAGCCGGGACGCGTCCTGCATACAAAGTGAACGGCAATGTGACATTATGGAACTAACAGCCAATGCTGTTTTATTGGGACACTTGTTTTGAAATGTATCTACGAGTATAACTATTTGAGAATGTAACCTGCACTGTTGTGGACTGTGGAGTATGCTTACAAAATGTATCTGTTATTCTAATGTAATCTACTACAGGGGTAGGTACAGTTCGTGACACCTAAAGTGGCCAAAAAGATGACAACATAACCTTATTCCAATTGTAACAAAGACGTGTGGTGAACTTTTGCTACTTGAACTATATGACGCTACACAGAAGTTATTGGTGGGAGCGAAAGTAATACATAAACTTTTGACATGCTTTTTATAGAAGATTAGAGACTTACTATGTAGGGTTGTCTTAGATACGAAAATCATTATTTACCATTACTGTATTGCAATACTAGTTAACATTAAACATTTCACTACAGGCATTAAGCAAACCCCTATGTATGAATGTTACATAAACCGTGTAAGCTCATTTAATTTTCACAGTCCTCAACTGATCACGATTCAGTAACAACAAATTCCCGTAAATAACCGCGTTAATATTCAGTTATAAACTTGTATATTTCAAGTGGCATTTATAAAACAGACGGCGATCAAAGCAAATGAATGTTAAGTGCACTGCCTCGTAAATGCCAATGGAACGAATAAACGAAGTACCTTCTGATTGAATTTTACTTAAGGTAAAACGTGAGCCGGTTGATGACTGTGTATTATGTACAGTTACTTTTATTGAGTGAAAAGACATACACCCGTATTCACAAACATTACTATGAGGTCTCACAGTGCGCGTTGTGCGCACAGGGTGACACACGAACCAATCACAGAGCTCTGTTAAACGCAGTGCGTTCGATCTGTGTGCTACTTCATCTTAAGCAAGCATCGTTTGTGAATAAGGGCGTTAGACTGAGTTGCACCATCTTACTTTGACTTTCACAAACGTCAAATATCTGTTAAACTCCATACAAATAGTTAAATTTACCGTCAACGTACTCGTAAGTTGGAGCAATTCAGCCTTAATGGTTAGCAAGCTTGAAGACCTGGATAAGTAGTAGCCAAATTTTTCTATTTCTAAAATTCAAACATTAACAAAATTGAAAAATAAATAAATCAAATCCCAAAAAATAACGCAATAGCAGAATTTAATTGATTTTCGATTTACATATGTTTTGAAAGAAGCTATTTCGCAACAAAAATAGCTGTTGTTCACCTATTATCGAGTGTACTTACGCCCGTATTCAAAAACATTACTATGAGGTCGCACAGTGCGCGTGGACGCACAGAGTGACACGCGAACCAATCACAGAACTCTAATGAACGCTGTGCGTTCGATTTGCTGCTTCACTTAAGCATCGTTTGTGAATACAGGCGTTAGGCTACAAAGTATACTTTGAAAGTACTTTTCTTTGAAAGTAGGTTTAATTTGCTCTTAATTAAGCTATACATGTAAACATATTTCTAGTTTCTGAAAATTCATTAAAACGCTTGAATAATTATAACCTTTAATGTGAACACTAAACACTGTTAGTGCGAATTTTAAAATCCCAAAAGACTTAATTTTAGGAAAATACTATTTAATCAGCTTTGTTGTCTAAATATTGTTTCATAGAAATTATTTTAAAGTTCAATTTCCAGGAATTTCGAATTGAATAAATATTATAAGTGCTAGGTGAACCGACGATCTGGTCAAGGTCGCTGGAGGTGCCTGGATGCGGGTGGCGTAGGACCGGTCTGAAATTCCTTGGAGGAGGCTTTTTTCCAGCAGTGGACGTAATTTGGCTGAAACTTACGAAATACCTAAATAATAAAAATACATATTTTCTATTTTATATGCTAGAAAAATAATATGCAAAGCCATTACTAAGCAATCTAAATCTAAATATATATAACTGAAAGGTGACTGACTGACTGACATAGTGATCTATCAACGCACAGCCCAAACCACTGGACGGATCGGGCTGAAATTTGGCATGCAGGTAGATGTTATGACGTAGGCATCCGCTAAGAAAGGATTATACTCAACTCCACCCCTGAGGGGTTAAAACGGGCTACATGCGTACGAAGTCGCGGGCGGCCGCTAGTTTAACATAATATTGAAAAATGTTTATGTTTAGAATATTTGAATTGAAATTTAGGTAATACCATAGGTATTAGGTAAGCCTGGATCATAAAGCTAAGTCCACTAACTTCCATTATGACTAAGCTATTTTATGGCTATTAACCTAATGCAGCATATTGACATAAACTTGATCAACTTTAATGGTTCAAACTTCGCAGTCTATACGCTTGGACTTTAGCGCATAACTAATTTCACTGTCCACAGAAACATTACTTTTATTTTTATACCAAAATGTAAGAAAGTAAAATTATTTGCCAACATATAAAACTTGATCTTGAGATTAAGTACCTATCTCATGTGTTTTATTCAGTATTTATTTTATTACTTTACTTTGAAGCACATAAATAAACGTTTGATTTTTTTTATTGGTTTGTAATGCCTTTAATTGATCTACAATTCCTATCTACAATAAAGTTTTTATTACCAGTATTGTACTCTACATTGATAGTTCCTGGATTTTGTATTCTAGAAAAAACCGTGATATCAACAACAAAATGTTAATAAAGCGCCATCTATTATCCAACATTAGCATTAAAACATTCAAAACAGAACTATCGCAATATTTTGCCATCGGTATACAATTCGCTATCCGTATCGAGAATCCCGAATAGAGTAACGTTGAACTCACTAATTTGCATTCCGGACGTCGCTTGTTTTGAAAACGGCTATTGGGAGGACAAAATACGGTTTCAATTTTCCATTTAATAACGCCTGATCGATGAGGCGTTTTTAGAACGGGATTTGCATGGGATGTTTATTTGGGAAGTTAGATTTGAGCGATAGTACGAAATTACCACAAAGAATAGTTTTAAGTTGCTGCTTCACTGGGAGTTTAGGTACACTAAAGCTGAGTTGCACCATCAAATTTAAACCGTAAAAAATAACGACAACCGGTGTATTTTGTATGTAGTTTGACAGATTTTTGACGTTTGTAAAAGTTAAATTATGATGGTACAACCCAGCCTAAGTGATGTTCACTGCTGGACAAAAGCTTCACTAAGGATTCCCACAACGGCCTGTCTTGTGTTTTCCGCATATAAATGCTTCCCGCCAAGTTCACTAGATCGTCGGTCCACCAAGTGGAAGGTCTGCCTACACTTAAAGCATCCCCATGCAATGTCAAAAAATAAGGTTTACTCGTACCAGAGAGCTTTACGACAGAGTATCACACTGAAAATCGAATCTTTCGTAGGTACTTATTATAACTAGCTTTTGCCCGAGGCTTCACCCGCGTGAAATTTAGTTTATCTCAGATCGTCATAATTTATAGCCTATATGTTATTCTGGGTTATAACCAATAATACTGTAAATTTTCATCAAATTCCGTTCAGTATTTTTGCGTGAAAGAGTAACAAACATCCATACAAACTTTCGGATTTATAATATTAGTAAGATGCGAATGCTCCTGGTTGTTGAGCACCTTTAAAATGATAATGACTTTCATTTGTTTTTTCTATTTTGACACTCTTTAACCTAAGTTTGAAATATTGTTAAACATCTTAAAAGCTTTTAATTTCTTTAGAATTTTGATAAATTACTTGTAGAGGCAAGCTCTACACATCTCGCAGCAATATTTTCCTACAACCTAAGTACCCGTTTAACGTATACGTTAAATAAAAACAGCGTACGTTTTCCCCCGACAGCTCGAACGTAATCTCATAAACGTTTATGGATACAAAAATGTACGGAACTCGGCTGAAAGGCCA